ATACATACATTATTGGACCTTTTCAATAAGAGTCAAGAAGATCTTACGAGAATTGAAAATTTTCGCATAGAGGATGTAAAAGAGATATCCAACACTCTACAAAACCATTTCGCAATTGATTTACCTAAGAATCAATTTTAATTTTAAATCCATGATAATTATTTCATCTTCTTTTTCTAATAAAATAGAAAGAAAAATTTATAAAGAAAAAGAAGAAAAATTGTTTTTAATCTTTTTGGCACAATCCGTATTTTCGTGGAATGATCATAATCAAATTAATGTATCTAAGAATAGTGACTTTGAAGTCATAGATCCGAGATAAATGTGCCACCACTAATGTATGACTAAAGAAAGGGATTGCTACGATATCGATACAGTGGTGGATGCTATGCTAACACGTCCATAGATCCGAGATAAATGTGCCACCAGTGCATGAAGATGCAATCATTAATTTATGGTGAGCAAATATAATAATGATGAAAAATGTGATTTTGATGTACTATTAGTACTCGGACTCGGTTTGCTATTATTCCGTCCAATCTTGACGCAGGAAGAGTTACGTGTAATAAAATATAAATATGTTGATTTATGTAATGATCAAATCTTTCATGATAAATAAAAAAAGAAAACCGATATGGGTTATCGATAGAATTTGCACATCAACTAAGCCATGTTGAGTTACACAGATAGTTCATCTTCTAGAGGGTTTCTGATATATAAAGATCTGCTTGTACGTGCCAATAAAGTAAAACACGAAATAAACAAATATAGATCATTAAAAGGATTTAAGTGGTTAATAGCACAATGATAATTGATATAAATCGGTGAACAGGTTCACTGTATATATTGATCCAAAACGTATAATCAAATATTGGAGATATTTCAAGAATTATGATAAATGAAAGATCTTTTGTACAAAAATATGAAAACGGGTATCTCTCTCGAGAAAAATCAAAAAGAAAATAATTTCTTAAAAATTTATCGGGCTAATTAAGATTAAATATTTCATCAGTAGAGACAACGACGTGAGGAAAAATAAGATTAAATATTTCGATTTCATAAGTAAACGAATACCAACATAACTTCTTAAAAATCGAAATACTAAACATAACTAACTATAAAAAAAAAAAAAGTAATTATCCATCTTTGACACTCAAGGCCATTTTATTAGAACCCAAAAAAACATCTTATGAGACAGTGATTCACGATATTTATAAAAACCAGTTATCATTTAACTGAAGTCACGGGGACCTGACTTGGAACCAGTGGCGTGCACTCCAGGTGGTCCATTGAACATGCGCCAGCCTCAACTGGCCAAGAGACGATAGGGAGATGCTAACAAGCATTGAAATCTGACAATATCTCAAACCTCACATCTCATTGGTCCTTTTCTTCCCAATCTATGCTCTTACAGATAGCTTTCGCTGGGACATGATAAATTTGCCTTCTTTGAGACCTAGAGAGAGGGAGAAAGACAGAGAAGGGATGGTTGAGGTTGCAGCAGCAGCTGCAGCAGCTGGTGGATCTTCCAGCCTCAGCAGACTTCCCCTTGTCCGTGGAGGAGGTAAAGCTGCTGCCCAGACCCGTGCCTCGGCTTCGATGCCCACAGTGGACCACATGATATATGCTACTGCTTCAAAACAGCTGCAGGTAGTAGAAGAGACGCTGCCATTTGGAGATGGCCGAAGAGGAAGGAGGAGATGGCCAGCACCAAGAAGCACAGATTGCATCACCGGTCTCATCCTCCACCCCTTCCAACTGCAGCCAGGAGCTCAGCCAATGACGCCAACATCAGTGGCTTCGATTCCCAGCCCGGCGTCGTCACCTTCTCCTCCAACATCTCCACCGACATTCCCCTCCACGAAACTCCCGGGGCAGGCATCTCCTTCTCAGTCTGTGTATCAAGAACATCGAGCGAACAGATCCTGTTTCATCACTCGGCTTCAACTTTCAGATGAATTGGCAGTGATTTTTCTCACCAGAAGCACTTACAATGCAGGTCTCCTTTGATGAATACCTCTGCGATCGACCTCGAGTCTTCCGAGCCATGTTTCCAGACAAACGAAGAAGCAAGAGACTGAATGATGTGAGCCCTTTTCGTCTCTGTTTCCGTCCTTCTGCACCAACTGTAACAACTGGCTCATTGCAGGAAGAGTGGAGGATACAGATGCTGCCGATCCACTTCCTCTTTGCATCGGCGAACCCGGTTGTCGTCATGCGGCTGAGACACAAATCCAGTGGGGAAGATTACCCGCCCGGTGTCCCTGGACATGCCACCAGTGTCCTGGAGCTTCAAGCTGTAATTAGTTGGATCATTCATCTGCGGCCTCAACTAAGTACCATTTGTTCTCGGAATCATCTCAAGCGTCCGATGTGTGCTTGCAGACCAGGTGGGAGCTCCAAGGCCTCCAGGACATCCAGATGCCACCACATTTTGCTCTCAGTGTCCAGGGAGTGCTGTATCCAGATCGGAGCAGCAGCAGCAGGAGGCTCAAGGGTCATCTGGAGATGGGCATCAGCATGATCCTTCCTCCGGTCCTTCAATTAGTCCCAGAAGATGTCCTCAGAAGTATTGCTGATACTGTAAGATCGATGACTGCAAAGCCAATAATTCAATGCTCCTTACGATTTTGATGGATTGACAAGGGCTAAAAGGTTTGACAATGTTAGCTTGGATGCTGCAGCTTCTGAGTAGACTGTTAAAGAAGATGAAGCACGAAGTGGATGTCGGCCTGATCTCGGACTATGCCAAGTTCCGGAGAGAGAAACTGAAGAAACATGGAGCTGCAGCTCAAACTCCAGCAACTTCTTCTGAGCCGAGAGGGATCTCCTGAGCTTGAAGTCAACGAAGTCTGTACCTGTCCACAAAACAGAAGAAGAAATCTCGTGATCTCATTTGTTTTCTGACGAAAAATTCTTGTTCAACGCGTTCTTCAATATATCTCAAGATACCAAAACAACGCAGCAAAATGTATGGCATGGAAAAATTAGTGTACAAAAGAAGCTGCAGCAATGGATCAACAATTTTAATGGTGATCAAGATAATGATATATATATATTCTGGTGCTCTTGTAATGCTTGAGTAGAATGGTTGGTGGTCGCATTGTCAATGCAGTTGAATCATAAACATTGCACGAGCTGCAGGCAAATCTCACAGTCGCGTTGATGATAAGATCTGAACCTGGAATGCATCCAACCTTACCACTGATGGTCTTTGCTTTGGTCAGAGATTAATACAAACATAAAGAGGGCATGACACAAACAAGTAGAAGCTGAGACGATAGGAAAAGCACGGTTCATTTGATACGCTGCCGTGCCGGCACAGCGTGGCACTCGCGTGCAATCGTACCTCAATCTGCCTCCTTGAGAGCCTTCTCATCTCCGTTCCTTGCGAGTCTCAAGAAATCGAATCATACAGGGTATGGGCGTCCGAGTGCCTCCTGACAGGAGTTCTGACAGATCGTTGCTGCCTTCTTTCTACCGGTGCTCGTCGTTCTTCTTGCTGTAGCATTGCCTTCGGCAGCAGGGAAACAAGACGGAGCCGAGTAGGGAAGGGTCAATTGACGAGTCTTCCGAGTTGACGGCAGAAAAGCCGTCGAAGGGCAAGGACGCCGCCAAGGTGATGGCACAACCGCAGGCGCTTTGGGAGAAGGCGCCTGCCATAAGACCTATGGACGGTCAAGATTATCTCCCATAATATCCATCAGCACATCTCAATCGTTCATTGATGGTAGAAGAACTTATGTCAAATCACTGTCTCTGTCTCGAGTAACGGCGGCAAATTCATACGGCAAGGCGGGGGAAGGGAGAGAGCGAGACCAGAGCGACGAGAGATCGGCATGGCACCCGAGCCCGAGGATGACACCAGCGAGAAGAACCCTCGCCCCCTCGACGAGGACGACATCGCCCTCCTCAAGACCTACGTGAGTTGCCCTTCCTCCGCTGCGTCGCCCTCCTCTTCCTTCCCTCTCTTTGATCTGTCATCTAAGCTTCTCTTCCCCCTTCTTTCATCCCTTGGAGTCCAAGATCGAGTCGTTCGTCGGTTCTTTATCAAGAACCAGGGTCTCTTCCTCTTCACTCTGTCATTTTTTATCAGTCGTAGAATCTTCGGTTCCCTCTTCGCCGCTTCTTTCCTCCTTTCGGGACCAAGATCGATTCTTTTGTCTGTTTTTCTTCAAGAAGTTCTTGAACTTTTTGCCGTCAGGTGTGATTAAGGGCTTCCTTTTCGTCCCTCTCTCTTTGATCTGTCATATAATCTTCGGTTTCGCCTTCTCTCGTCTTTTCTTTTCTCTCTTCGAGTCCAAGATTGAATCAATCGAATCTTTTCCTGGAAGGTCTAGATCTTTTGCTGTGTGATTTAGAGTTTTGTTCTTAATGTGTGTCTCGGTCGTAGTCGTATGATTCATATCTAGCAAAGATCCATCTGGTGCCTTCATTGATGTATGGATCAAACTGGTTTTTGCCCCCTTTTTTTGTGGCAGAGTTTCTTTTCATCTTTGGGATGCAAAAGATAGTTTCAGAAATCTGTATTCCATACGTTCTGAATATTTATCTGTCGCTTTTCGTGGTTTCTT